CAAAGGCACAACAAGCCAACAAAATTCGAATGAATAACCGAAACATGTGAGACAACAGCAAAGTCCGAAAACATTTAACAAAGATGAAGATAAAATGGCGCATGACAGAATGACCCAAAAAGCCACAAACAAAAAGATTCACAGAGAGATTCAATGAGCCACAGACATAGAGACCGTCAAAATGACGCTGTCTTCTCCTTCTGTGTTTCAGGCGAAACCACGACACCTGGAGAAGAATTCGTCAACGTGACGGACAAGTTCGGAAGAGTGGTGGCTCGACACCGACGAAGGAGGAGGCGAACAACCACACGCCGACCACTGGGTAAGTCTCGTTCACCTGAGTCGACTGACACTCTCAGCATTTGTCTTCACCAATTGACGATTCTCGCATGTGGATTCTGCTTGTTTGTGTGACGTGATATAGAGAAAGTATATGTCTCAATGTGTGTGTGTGTGTGCGAGTCTCTTACTCAATGTCTGTTTCTTTCTGAGCGTGTTTCTGTGCGTGTGCATTATGTGCATGTAGTTAGTGTATGTGAAGATGAATAGTGGAGTTTGAGTGATGTGTCCACCGTGTGGTGACAAGTATGGAGGCAGTGAGAGTGACACTACACTGACAGACAATTGGACCCAGTCTTCTCCTTCTCTGTTTCAGGCGAAACCACGACACCTGGAGAAGAATTCGTCAACGTGACGGACAAGTTCGGAAGAGTGGTGGCTCGACACCGACGAAGGAGGAGGCGAACAACCACACGCCGACCACTGGGTAAGTCTCGTTCACCTGAGTCGACTGACACTCTCAGCATTTGTCTTCACCAATTGACGATTCTTGCATGTGGATTCTGCTTGTTTGTGTGACGTGATATAGAGAAAGTATATGTCTCAGTGTGTGTGTGCGTGTCTGTGACTCAATGTCTGTTTCTTTCTGAGCGTGTTTCTGTGCGTGTGCATTATGTGCATGTAGTTAGTGTATGTGAAGATGAATAGTGGAGTTTGAGTGATGTGTCTACCGTGTGGTGACAAGTATGGAGGCAGTGAGAGTGACACTACACTGACAGACAATTTGACTCAGTCTTCTCCTTCTCTGTTTCAGGCGAAACCACGACACCTGGAGAAGAATTCGTCAACGTGACGGACAAGTTCGGAAGAGTGGTGGCTCGACACCGACGAAGGAGGAGGCGAACAACCACACGCCGACCACTGGGTAAGTCTCGTTCACCTGAGTCGACTGACACTCTCAGCATTTGTCTTCACCAATTGACGATTCTCGCATGTGGATTCTGCTTGTTTGTGTGACGTGATATAGAGAAAGTATATGTCTCAGTGTGTGTGTGCGTGTCTGTGACTCAATGTCTGTTTCTTTCTGAGCGTGTTTCTGTGCGTGTGCATTATGTGCATGTAGTTAGTGTATGTGAAGATGAATAGTGGAGTTTGAGTGATGTGTCCACCGTGTGGTGACAAGTATGGAGGCAGTGAGAGTGACACTACACTGACAGACAATTTGACTCAGTCTTCTCCTTCTCTGTTTCAGGCGAAACCACGACACCTGGAGAAGAATTCGTCAACGTGACGGACAAGTTCGGAAGAGTGGTGGCTCGACACCGACGAAGGAGGAGGCGAACAACCACACGCCGACCACTAGGTAAGTCTCGTTCACCTGAGTCAACAGACACTCTCAGCATTTGTCTTCACCAATTGACGATTCTCGCATGTGGATTCTGCTTGTTTGTGTGACGTGATATAGAGAAAGTATATGTCTCAGTGTGTGTGTGCGTGTCTGTGACTCAATGTCTGTTTCTTTCTGAGCGTGTTTCTGTGCGTGTGCATTATGTGCATGTAGTTAGTGTATGTGAAGATGAATAGTGGAGTTTGAGTGATGTGTCCACCGTGTGGTGACAAGTATGGAGGCAGTGAGAGTGACACTACACTGACAGACAATTGGACTCAGTCTTCTCCTTCACTGTTTCAGGCGAAACCACGACACCTGGAGAAGAATTCGTCAACGTGACGGACAAGTTCGGAAGAGTGGTGGCTCGACACCGACGAAGGAGGAGGCGAACAACTACACGGCGTCCACTGGGTAAATAGTCTATTCATGTCTGTCAATTTTGAATCATTTTTGTGGGATTTTTACTGCATTTACTGAGCTTGAGTTCACATATGTTTTTCTTACATTTTTGGAACATCATTTTCGTTATATTTTTCTGGGATTCACTCCTTCTTGTATTCATGCCATATATGTGCAAGTGAAGATTTCTGCTCTACCAATAATTTTCAACATTCCTCGTATGCTCGCCTTGATATGGATGTTCGTCTAAGTTTCCGCATAATACTTCACCATTTATTCAAATTCCGCATCAAACTTTGCCTCATATTGGCACGCATGGATGACACGCGATGACAGCACAGGTCAGTGGTGACTGAGGACTATCCCCTCCATTCTCTGAACAACGACACAACCACACCGTCAGGCACACACCACACACAAACAACAACGCCAACACAATAACACCGAAACTGTCACACAACAGACACACTCAAACACTGACACTGTCAGCGTCTCTCTATCCACCTGCACACATCATATCACATCAACCTCAATCTATCCCATTCTCCTCCGTTTCAGAACCCAAATCAACGCCAGGCAGAAGACAGCCGTCCACCACTACACCCGAAGATCACGATCTCTACGTCTACTACATTGACAAGTTCGGAAAGAGAAGGAGACGACCTCGACGACATACAAAACCATCACACAAACGAACCAGATTGACGTCACCAAAACGTGAGTCCCCACATCCATTACACACCTGAACATATCAGCTCTCATTGATCACTCTCTCGACTCAATTTCATTCCCCTGACGCGGATCATCCTCTGTGTAGTCTCCCTTCTGCACGTCACAGTGTTTCATCTCCTCGACAAACACTCCACACCACATCTCACTGTACTCACACATCACGCTCACTCGAATCAATTCGCCGTCAACAAACACACAGACAAATCAGTCCACAGTCTTTGTCACTGACAAACACACAAACATAGACACATCAGCAGACAGCAACTCAGTCACACTCACAGAACACAGCGCATACACTTCCGAATTTCACACATACACACACGCACACACACACAACGACGTGATACTCCACCGTCGATGGTGTTGGTAGAACCAAGCCACTTGTGACGAGCTGAAATGATTGAGACGAAGACGGACTGTTGCCGACCGGACATGGTCGCATGATGAGAGATTGCAGGATTCAAGGATGACACTGCGTCACATCACTGATGCACTCTGTCTAGCTCTCGCTCCTCTCGCTTGCATATATATTCTTCTAAATCTTTGTGCTTGAGAGCTGAACAATTCTCAACTGATTATTTGTTCCGATTTAATTGACAGGTCATTGTTTACAATCATCACTATCACTCCATTCTTGTGATGATATTTTGCGAAATATTCATACAATTCTGACACTGAATTTGTGTGTTGCTTCCGAATAACGTATAGGTTATTGATCTATTTAATTTCTCGGATTTACTCATAGCCAAGTTCGTATGTATTTTGACACGTGTCGATTGAATATTTGAGAGTTATGCACAGATATAATCTATGTCATCGCAATACATTCTGATGGACAGCAGTCACAAAGGCGAGAGTTAAATTGAGAATGCGACGGGAAGACTAAATTCAAAGGAAAGGCACCACAAACGAACAAAATTCGAATGAATAACCGAAACATGTGAGACAACAGCAAAGTCCGAAAACATTTAACAAAGATGAAGATAAAAAAGCGAATGAGAGAATGACCTAAAAAGCCACAAACGAAAAGATTGACAGAGAGATTCAATGAGCCACAGACATAGAGACTGTCAAAATGACGCTGTCTTCTCCTTCTGTGTTTCAGGCGAAACCACGACACCTGGAGAAGAATTCGTCAACGTGACGGACAAGTTCGGAAGAGTGGTGGCTCGACACCGACGAAGGAGGAGGCGAACAACCACACGCCGACCACTGGGTAAGTCTCGTTCACCTGAGTCGACTGACACTCTCAGCATTTGTCTTCACCAATTGACGATTCTTGCATGTGGATTCTGCTTGTTTGTGTGACGTGATATAGAGAAAGTATATGTCTCAGTGTGTGTGTGCGTGTCTGTCACTCAATGTCTGTTTCTTTCTGAGCGTGTTTCTGTGCGTGTGCATTATGTGCATGTAGTTAGTGTATGTGAAGATGAATAGTGGAGTTTGAGTGATGTGTCCACCGTGTGGTGACAAGTATGGAGGCAGTGAGAGTGACACTACACTGACAGACAATTGGACTCAGTCTTCTCCTTCTCTGTTTCAGGCGAAACCACGACACCTGGAGAAGAATTCGTCAACGTGACGGACAAGTTCGGAAGAGTGGTGGCTCGACACCGACGAAGGAGGAGGCGAACAACCACACGGCGTCCACTGGGTAAATAGTCTATTCATGTCTGTCAATTTTGAATCATTTTTGTGGGATGTTTACTGCATTTACTGAGCTTGATTTCACATATGTTTTTCTTACATTTTTGGAACATCATTTTCGTTATATTTTTCTGGGATTCACTCCTTCTTGTATTCATGCCATATATGTGCAAGTGAAGATTTCTGCTCTACCAATAATTTTCAACATTCCTCGTATGCTCGCCTTGATATGGATATTCGTCTAAGTTTCCGCATATTACTTCACCATTTATTCAAATTCCGCATCAAACTTTGCCTCATATTGGCACGCATGGATGACACGCGATGACAGCACAGGTCAGTGGTGACTGAGGACTATCCCCCCCATTCTCTGAACAACGACACAACCACACCGTCAGGCACACACCACACACAAACAACAACGCCAACACAATAACACCGAAACTGTCACACAACAGACACACTCAAACACTGACACTGTCAGCGTCTCTCTATCCACCTGCACACATCATATCACATCAACCTCAATCTATCCCATTCTCCTCCGTTTCAGAACCCAAATCAACGCCAGGCAGAAGACAGCCGTCCACCACTACACCCGAAGATCACGATCTCTACGTCTACTACATTGACAAGTTCGGAAAGAGAAGGAGACGACCTCGACGACATACAAAACCATCACACAAACGAACCAGATCGACGTCACCAAAACGTGAGTCCCCACATCCATTACACACCTGAACATATCAGCTCTCATTGATCACTCTCTCGACTCAATTTCATTCCCCTGACGCGGATCATCCTCTGTGTAGTCTCCCTTCTGCACGTCACAGTGTTTCATCTCCTCGACAAACACTCCACACCACATCTCACTGTACTCACACATCACGCTCACTCGAATCAATTCGCCGTCAACAAACACACAGACAAATCAGTCCACAGTCTTTGTCACTGACAAACACACAAACATAGACACATCAGCAGACAGCAACTCAGTCACACTCACAGAACACAGCGCATACACTTCCGAATTTCACACATACACACACGCACACACACACAACGACGTGATACTCCACCGTCGATGGTGTTGGTAGAACCAAGCCACTTGTGACGAGCTGAAATGATTGAGACGAAGACGGACTGTTGCCGACCGGACATGGTCGCATGATGAGAGATTGCAGGATTCAAGGATGACACTGCGTCACATCACTGATGCACTCTGTCTAGCTCTCGCTCCTCTCGCTTGCATATATATTCTTCTAAATCTTTGTGCTTGAGAGCTGAACAATTCTCAACTGATTATTTGTTCCGATTTAATTGACAGGTCATTGTTTACAATCATCACTATCACTCCATTCTTGTGATGATATTTTGCGAAATATTCATACAATTCTGACACTGAATTTGTGTGTTGCTTCCGAATAACGTATAAGTTATTGATCTATTTAATTTCTCGGATTTACTCATAGCCAAGTTCGTATGTATTTTGACACGTGTCGATTGAATATTTGAGAGTTATGCACAGATATAATCTATGTCATCGCAATACATTCTGATGGACAGCAGTCACAAAGGCGAGAGTTAAATTGAGAATGCGACGGGAAGACTAAATTCAAAGGAAAGGCACCACAAACGAACAAAATACGAATGAATAACCGAAACATGTGAGACAACAGCAAAGTCCGAAAACATTTAACAAAGATGAAGATAAAATGGCGCATGACAGAATGACCCAAAAAGCCAAAAACGAAAAGATTGACAGAGAGATTCAATGAGCCACAGACATAGAGACTGTCAAAATGACGCTGTCTTCTCCTTCTGTGTTTCAGGCGAAACCACGACACCTGGAGAAGAATTCGTCAACGTGACGGACAAGTTCGAAAGAGTGGTGGCTCGACACCGACGAGTCTGTCAGTGTAAATATATCACGGACTTGTGTTTGAGTGTGTGTTTGTGTGTGTGTGTGCGTGTGTGTGTATGGTGGTGGCGTGATGTGCATAGCGAGATTAGTGAGTATTGTTGATGTGTGGTGTTGATTGATTGGTTGAATGTGTGGTGATGATTTCGTGTGATGTGATTGGCGTGGACTTGAGAACATGGATTCCGTTGGAGTGTGTGGGCGTCCGACTGTCTGTTTGTCACCTCTTGATGGATTGAATGAGTGAGTGAGCGTTTGAGTGAGGCAGTGTGTCAGAGTGATGGAAGGAATCCCAGCGTGTCTGATTCACACATTTTCTGTTTGAGCTTCACAACCACTGAATAGATGAATCACACACTGACTGAGTGGCTGACTGACTGACTGACTGACGCTGTCTTCTCCTTCTCTCTTGCAGCCAAGACGACGACGACGACACCTGGAGAAGAATTCATCAACGTGACGGACAAGTACGGAAGGGTGGTGGCTCGACACCGACGCAGGAGGAGGCGACGAACGACAGTCACACCAGTGGGTAAGTAGTCCTATTCACGTCAGTCGATGGAGAGACGACTGTGCATATGCCTTTCCCAATGCACTCGTCTTCTCTCACTCAAATCTCGCTGTGTGTCTGTGTTTTCCACGCTGTGTCGTCAGAGTCTTTCATGCTCTTGCAATTGTGATCGTCAATGTGTCTCAGGTTTGCATCTGTCATCGACTCGTGTCACAGTCATGATCAGCATGAGTGTGATGACGACGTGTGGATGACGATATACTGGCGACTGTGTGTTCGTGTGTGTGTGTATGTGTGAGTGTGTGAGATGGATGTGTGGGAGGATAGATAAGAAGAAGTAGAAGAATCAGCAGAAAGAGGAGTAAAATCGAAGAGTGACGGATGGAGACTGGACGAGTCTGTCAGGGTAAATATATCACGGACTTGTGATTGAGTGTGTGTGTTTGTGTGTGTGTGCGTGTGTGTGTATGGAGATGGCGTGATGTGCATAGCGAGATTAGTGAGTATTGTTGATGTGTGGTGGTGATTGATTGGTTGAATGTGTGGTGATGATTTCGTGTGATGTGATTGGCGTGGACTTGAGAAGATGGATTCCGTTGGAATGTGTGAGCGTCCGACTGTCTGTTTGTCACTTCTTGATGGATTGAATGAGTGAGTGAGCGTTTGAGTGAGGCAGTGTGTCAGATTGATGGAAGGAATCCCAGCGTGTCTGACTCACACATTTTCTGTTTGAGCTTCACAACCACTGAATAGATGAATCACACACTGACTGAGTGGCTGACTGACTGACGCTGTCTTCTCCTTCTCTCTTGCAGCCAAGACGACGACGACGACACCTGGAGAAGAATTCATCAACGTGACGGACAAGTACGGAAGGGTGGTGGCTCGACACCGACGCAGGAGGAGGCGACGAACGACAGTCACACCAGTGGGTAAGTAGTCCTATTCACGTCAGTCGATGGAGAGACGACTGTGCATATGCCTTTCCCAATGCACTCGTCTTCTCTCACTCAAATCTCGCTGTGTGTCTGTGTTTTCCACGCTGTGTCGTCACAGGCTTTCATGCTCTTGCAATTGTGATCGTCAATGTGTCTCAGGTTTGCATCTGTCATCGACTCGTGTCATTGTCATGATCAGCATGAGTGTGATGACGACGTGTGGATGACGATATACTGGCGACTGTGTGTTCGTGTGTGTGTGTATGTGTGAGTGTGTGAGATGGATGTGTTGGAGGATAGATGCGAAGAAGTAGAAGAATCAGCAGAAAGAGGAGAAAAATCGAAGAGTGACGGATGGAGACTGGACGAGACTGTCAGTGTAAGTATATCACGGACTTGTGTTTGAGTGTGTGTTTGTGTGTGTGTGTAGGGAGATGGCGTTATGTGCATAGCGAGATTAGTGAGTATTGTTGATGTGTGGTGGTGATTGATTGGTTGAATGTGTGGTGATGATTTCGTGTGATGTGATTGGCGTGGACTTGAGAACATGATTCCGTTGGAATGTGTGAGCGTCCGACTGTCTGTTTGTCACTTCTTGATGGATTGAATGAGTGAGTGAGCGTTTGAGTGAGGCAGTGTGTGAGATTGACGGACGCAATCCCAGCGTGTCTGACTCAGACATTTTCTGTTTGAGCTTCACAACCACTAAATAGATGAATCACACACTGACTGACTGTCTGAGTGACACTGACTTCTCCTTCTCTCTTGCAGCCAAGACGACGACGACGACACCTGGAGAAGAATTCATCAACGTGACGGACAAGTACGGAAGGGTGGTGGCTCGACACCGACGCAGGAGGAGGCGACGAACGACAGTCACACCAGTGGGTAAGTAGTCCTATTCACGTCAGTCGATGGAGAGACGACTGTGCATATGCCTTTCCCAATGCACTCGTCTTCTCTCACTCAAATCTCGCTGTGTGTCTGTGTTTTCCACGCTGTGTCGTCAGAGTCTTTCATGCTCTTGCAATTGTGATCGTCAATGTGTCTCAGGTTTGCATCTGTCATCGACTCGTGTCATTGTCATGATCAGCATGAGTGTGATGACGACGTGTGGATGACGATATACTGGCGACTGTGTGTTCGTGTGTGTGTGTATGTGTGAGTGTGTGAGATGGATGTGTGGGAGGATAGATAAGAAGAAGTAGAAGAATCAGCAGAAAGAGGAGAAAAATCGAAGAGTGACGAATGGAGACTGGACGAGACTGTCAGTGTAAGTATATCACGGACTTGTGTTTGAGTGTGTGTTTGTGTGTGTGTGTGCGTGTGTGTGTATGGAGATGGCGTGATGTGCATAGCGAGATTAGTGAGTATTGTTGATGTGTGGTGGTGATTGATTGGTTGAATGTGTGGTGATGATTTCGTGTGATGTGATTGGCGTGGACTTGAGAACATGATTCCGTTGGAATGTGTGAGCGTCCGACTGTCTGTTTGTCACTTCTTGATGGATTGAATGAGTGAGTGAGCGTTTGAGTGAGGCAGTGTGTCAGATTGATGGAAGGAATCCCAGCGTGTCTGACTCACACATTTTCTGTTTGAGCTTCACAACCACTGAATTCATGAATCACACACTGACTGACAGTCTGAGTGACACTGACTTCTCCTACTCTCTTGCAGCCAAGACGACGACGACGACACCTGGAGAAGAATTCATCAACGTGACGGACAAGTACGGAAGGGTGGTGGCTCGACACCGACGCAGGAGGAGGCGACGAACGACAGTCACACCAGTGGGTAAGTAGTCCTATTCACGTCAGTCGATGGAGAGACGACTGTGCATATGCCTTTCCCAATGCACTCGTCTTCTCTCACTCAAATCTCGCTGTGTGTCTGTGTTTTCCACGCTGTGTCGTCAGAGTCTTTCATGCTCTTGCAATTGTGATCGTCAATGTGTCTCAGGTTTGCATCTGTCATCGACTCGTGTCACAGTCATGATCAGCATGAGTGTGATGACGACGTGTGGATGACGATATACTGGCGACTGTGTGTTCGTGTGTGTGTGTATGTGTGAGTGTGTGAGATGGATGTGTGGGAGGATAGATAAGAAGAAGTAGAAGAATCAGCAGAAAGAGGAGAAAAATCGAAGAGTGACGGATGGAGACTGGACGAGACTGTCAGTGTAAGTATATCACGGACTTGTGTTTGAGTGTGTGTTTGTGTGTGTGTGTGCGTGTGTGTGTATGGAGATGGCGTGATGTGCATAGCGAGATTAGTGAGTATTGTTGATGTGTGGTGGTGATTGATTGGTTGAATGTGTGGTGATGATTTCGTGTGATGTGATT